AAAAATAATTCTGAGCCAATATAATAAGTTGCAGAAAATACATTTATTTGGGCAATTAAACACCAACAAGAAGGTGTGGGCTCAGAAAGTCTCACTGATAAGACAGGCAAAAGCTTCCCTCAGGGAGTTTAAGAAAACCTTAATATTAATAAATGTAATAGTCATTAGTATGTAACTGGGAGCAGTCCTTTTTTTCTTCACATAACCATGCCCAGGTTCTTCACATAACTGATAATTCTGAAAATATTTTTTAAAAGGTAGCAGACAGTACCTTTTCAGGTTTGAAACATTATCCAATTTTACTGTACATCCAAAATAAAAACACATCAGCCTAGTTTCAAGCCTGAACACTTTTATGTCACTAAGGAAATATCTGAGGCAGTTACTCTGCCAGATAATATGCCAAGATGATTAAAATATTGTACCTATTTCTTTTATTTGTATTTATTCATTTTTATTTATTTTTTGTAGAGATGAGGTCTTGCTATGTTGCTCTGCCCGGTCCTCCTGCCTCAGCCTCCCAAAGTGCTGGGATTACAGGCGTGAGTCATCAGGCTGAGCCCCAAGATATTGTACCTATTTCTTATAAGCTTAGAGTCTGCTGAGCCTGATTGAAGAGCACAACTACAAGGGCATCGTTGAGTGCCATTGTAACTTAGAGTGCTGGGGAAGCAGGGAAGGAGGAAGAACGCTCCTGAGTGATGGAGGAATGGCTGAAATGGATGTTTGAATTGGGTTTTAATAAACAAGAGCGTTGCTGGGAGCAGTGGCTCACATCTATAATCCCAGCACTTTGGGAGGCGGAGGTGAGAGGATTGCTTGAGCCCGCGGGTTCGAGACCCGCCTGGGCAACTTGGCGAGACCTCATCTCTACAATAAATAAAAAAATTAGCCGGGTGTGGTGGTGCACACCTGTAGTTCCAGCTACTTGGAAGGCTGAGGCAGAAGGATCACCTGAGCCCAGCATGACAAGGTTGTGTTTTTTTAGTGTTTATTTTCTTCGTGACCGCATGCATATAGTTCCGTGTTTGAAGTTCACAGTCACACCTTATTCATGACATCACTTTTTGGTAGTGCATACATTTGTGGGCAGCTGTTTTCAATGATGAAGCACACGGAGAGCATGTCACTGCACTCCAGCCTGAGTGACAGAGACTCTGACTCAAACTTAAATAAAATAAACATGAATGTTTGCCATGGGAGAGAGAGAGAGAGAGAGTAGTCCAGGAGAGTAGGAGGAGCTGCACAGAAGGTGCAGGAGCCAAAGGGTGCATGCCCGGACTTCTCAACCATGTGTAACTGGAGGGTAGACTTCATGGGGAGAGGGACAAGAGGAAAGGCTGAAGGAATAGACAGGTGCAGGTTAAGGTTAGGACCTTGTGTGCTGATGGGAAGTGGGAAGACATTTAAGAACTTAAAGAGAATTCAGGGCCTGGTGCAGTGGCTCACACCTGTCATCCCAGCACTTTGGGAGGCAAAGGCAGGAGGATTGCCGGAGTCTGGGAGTTCAACACCAGCCTGGGCAACTTGGCAAGACCTCAATTTCTACAAAATAATTTAAAAGTTAGCTGGGCACAGTGGCACATGCTTGTGGTTCTAGCTACTTGGGAGTCAGGCTGGAGGATTGCCTGAGCCCAGCATGTCGAGGCTGTGGTGAGTCATGATCACACCAACTGCACTCCAGTGTGGGAGACAGAGTGAGACTCCGACTCAAAAAAAAAAGAAAGAAAAAATTCAGGATAAATAATTAGGACATTATGATAACAATACAAGTGAGAAATTAGGCTTCAAATGTATTAAGTGGCAGAAGATGCAGGGAAAACAAAAACAGGACAGTACTTCAATCAAACTGAATCTATGTGATGACGTACAGAATAGTGTGTGTGCCTGACAACCTTTTCTCTTTCTATTTTTTTAGTAGGAGTCTCACTCCGTCACCCAGGCTAGAGTGCAGTTACATGCTCACAGCCACTGCAGCGTCGACCTGCTGGACTCAGGCAATTCTAAGTAGCTGGAACCATAGGTGTGTACCACCACAAATGGCTAATTTTTTTGATTTATTATAGAGATGAGGTCTTGCCAGGTTGCCCAGGCTGGTCTCAAATCCTGGACTCAGGCAGTCCTCTCACCTCCACCTCCCAAAGTGCTGGTTTATAGACGTGAGCCACCACGCCCGGCTGACCTTTTTATCTTAAGGTTTAAGGTTAAGTTTTTCCATCTTGGAGAGGCTGAAAGGACAAATTGAGGTAGGAGGTATAAACAAATCAGTGATGGGAAAATAGGCTTCCAGATGCAGAACCCTGTAGGCTTTAGCTTTATTAAAATAATAATCACACTATGTAAGATTATAAAAATTACTTTATTTCAAATGTGAAAATAGTAAAATCACATATAAAATTTAAGGGTATTGAAACATCCAAAATTTAAATTCCATCCATAGCGCCTTATAAATGCACTTAAATGTAATGGAGACAATATCCATAGCAGGCATAAATATAAAGAATAGTAATCCTTAAGAGGATTAAAACACAGGAGAAAGTGACAGTCCATCACTGATGAAGAGCCCAGAACTCTCTGCTCAGTGTTGTGGATGGCCCCACACCGTCTCCACACCAAAGAGGGTTACTCAAAGACAGTTACAGGAATCTTATTGTCATTGGCAGTGATTGAGGGAAAGGCCGGGTGATCCTTCCTGACCAATAAGGCCATAAGGAGATATGAGTAGAGATTTGCTGACAGAGCCTCTGAGAAAGAGTTCCTTGAGTCTGTGAAGGAGAAACAGCAAAAATCGCTCATTTTCTCCCTATGGTTGCTGCCAGGACTAAATGGGTCCCTGGAATAGCTACTGCAGGGATGTCCAACCTTTTGGCTTCCTTGGGTTATGTGGAGGAAAGAGGACTTGTCTTGGGCCGCACATAAATTACATAATATAGTTAGTGTATATACATAATAAGACTTATTTTATTTTTTACCTTTTTTAACTATAAAGTTTAGGAAAATGAGAACAAAATAATACTAGTGAGAAATTTGACCTTGTTTTTGTAAAACTGATCTATTCCCAAGGTGCTCATTGGAAATGTGTGTTTGGTGGCTTCTTTTGCCCATGCCAGCTCCGGCATATCTCCCTTTCTTTACTCTCTTCTTTTGCTAATAAGCCTTGTTTAAAAACTAAAAAAAAAAATTTGTTCGTATTTTGTTCTCCATGTGCTTCATCACTGAAAACAGCTGCCCACAAATGTGCTACCAAAAGGTGATGTCATGAATTAGGCGTGACTGTGAACTTCAGACATGGAACTATGCATGGGGTCACAAAGAAAATAAACACGAAAAATCACATGATGTTAAAAGACTTTGTGGGGGCCACCTGACTAGCTGTCCTGGGTGACATGTGGGCCACAGTCTGCTGGTTGTACATGCCTGAACTCCGGCCGTCAGCTGCCAGAGTCTGAAAGGGAAGCAGTAAAGATGAGAGAGCAGAGTGGGGGAAGCCTGAATACCGAGCCATTGGAACTTGCTCTGTGTGACCTTCTAAATATGTGGGATTATACATTTCCTTATTTGTTGAAGCCAGTTGAATCAGGGTTTTCTGTCACTTGCAGCCAAAGCTTCTCAACCAAGACAAGGAACACTGGTAGAGAAAAAGTAAACGTTAACACAAGGTTATAACATGTTGGATATTTTCTAAAATTTCTCCTCTCCATAAATCACTTTCATTTATAGTCACTTTTAAATTTCACTTGAGGTTTACATACTCTCTCCCCTCTGAACGGTCATTACATTTTTTTTATACAATTGCATCAAACTATCTATCTTCTCATATACTATTGCTGACAAACAGCAAGGAGAAGAAAAGCAGTGGTGAATCTTAGGTCTCTGTTAAGGTGCGAGTAGTTTCTCTTTCACAATCAGTTTTAAGGTTATGGCAGCAAACTTTTTCTAGTGTGAGGCCATAGAGATGGCACATGTGGAAAAAATTTGGAAATCATTTTTTTTTTTTTTTTTTTTGAGACAAGGTCTTGCCCTGTTGCCCAGGTTGGAGTGCAGTAGTATGATCATAGCTCACTGCAGCCTCAAACTCCTGGGCTCAAATGATCCTCCCACTTCAGCCTCCAGAGCAGCTAGAACTGTAGGCATGTACCACCTCACCTGGTCAGTTTTTCTGGTTTTTTTTGTGGAGATGAAGTGTCACCATGTTGCCCAGGCTAGTCTTGAACTCCTGGGCTCAAGGAGTCCTCCTGCTTCTGCCTCCCAAAGTGCTGGGATTACAAGCACCAACCACTGTGCCCCGCCCAAAAATCTTCCAATAACTTAAAAAATAAATAAAAACAACTAAGCACTTTCTTAAAACTAATAATCTATCCTTCACTTACTTGCCTCCTGATTGGGTTGGGAGCACTCATACACATTTTTTTTTTAAACCTACATCTTTATTGAGTTGATGAAATACTTGGCTGGTTTATTCTTTTTCTTTTTTTTTTTTTTTGAGTTGGAGTCTCACTCTGTCACCCAGACTGGAGTGCAGTGGCCGCTCCCAGCCACCGCAGCCTCGACCTGCTGGGTTCCGGTGATCCGTCCGCCTCAGCCTTCCGAGTAGCCAGAATTATAGGCATGCACTACCACGCCCGGCTGATTTTTTGATTTATTGTAGAGATGAGGTCTCGCTGCCCAGGCGGGTCTCGAACCCGCGGGCTCAGGCAATCCACTCACCTCAGCCTCCCAAAGGTGCGGGATTACAGGCTGAGCCACTGAGCCTGGCTCATACACATTTTAAAAATAACTTTAAATACACGTAGTCCATGCAAGTGCTAAGCACAGTGTTTGGCATAAGGTATTATTAGCTATTATTATTAGCAATGAGATCACTAAGAGATATCCAAGACTGAGTCCAGCACTGAGCATGTCCAGTGGCTCTGAAGCGCCCACCAGTTGATTTGTGATGCATCTGGCTGCCTTCCAATAACTTGAGTTGCTTTACTCTTAACAATTCACTTGAAGAGTTGAGTCTCAGGGATAATGCATACCTTTCATTTTCAGATGCAAGCAGCAACTTTGGCATTTTTTATCACAAAAAACCCATAAGAGAATGCTGGCAAGCCCAGTGAGCTTCCTGGGCGGAGAGGCTTTTCCGTGAGAGTTGGCAGCGTGTAGTCATCCACCATCTTCAGAGCTTGGCCGTTGAGTTCTACAGACCTGCAGGGGAGACATCGATGAGCCTCCGACTCCAAAAAAAAGAAAAGAAAAAAAATGCCCATTTCAAAAAGGGTCAGAACCTACATAGGGAAAAGTATCTGTTTCCCAAAGCTGCATTAGTTGCAAAAGGAAAAAAAAAGACTTAAATGGTTGGAAAATGGTTAAATAAACCATGGAACTATTTTATTTTGTTTATTTTTTTTTTTTGAGTCTAAGTATTGCTATGTCGTCCAGGCTGTAGTGCAGTGGCATGATCACAATTCACTGCAGCCTCAACCTCCTGAGTTCAGGCGATCCTTCTACCTCAGTCTCCTGAGTAGCTGGAACTATAGGTATGTGCCACCATACTTGGCTAATTTTTTGAGCTTTTTCTAGAGATGAGGTCTTGCTATGTTGCCCAGGCTGGTTTCAAATTCCTGGGCTTAAGCGATCCTCCTGCTTCAGCCTTTCAAAGTGCTGGAATAACAGACGTGAGCCACTGTGCCTGGCCATGGTAGTATTTCATAAAACATTCATTCCATTAAAAATGTTGACAAAGGCTATGCATGAAAAGGTTTTTGAGATAACGTGTGAATTCCTCACTCTGCCTTTTTTCTGACAGAGGTTATATGATCACAGTCATAGTAAAATAAAGCATGAGGGGAATACAAAAGAATGGTACCCAGTGCTAGTCATGCTGTGGAGATAGGACACTGGGGAAAGAATGCTCAGTACACTTAGAGGCAGATGCCAGTAGTCACTACACACATCACTTACCGAGCATTTGCAAAGATGGGAGGAGATGTGAGATCTTATAAACTCTTAATTCTTTTATGCCCCAATATGATAACAGTCATGAGAAAAGAGCTCCTTCAACACACACTGCACAAAAACCTTAAGCTGTTTATCTGCCTAACTCAAGATTCATAGTCATCTTTTGTACTCTGTTGAATATGAACTTTTTTTTTTTTTTTTTTTTGAGTTGGAGTCTCACTCTGTCGCCCAGACTGGAGTGCAGTAGCCGCTCTCGGCCACCGCAGCCTCGCCTCCTGGGCTCCGGCAATCCTTCCACCTCAGCCTTCCGAGCAGCCGGAATTACAGGCATGCACTACCATGCCCGGCTGATTTTTTGATTTATTGTAGAGATGAGGTCTCGCTGCCCAAGTGGATCTCGAACCTGCGAGCTCAGGCAATCCACTCACCTCAGCCGGGCTTGGTGGCTCAGCCTGAATATGAACTTTTTAAAGAAGCAGTCAGTGACTGTTTCTAAAACCAAAGTGTATTGGAACCTACTTAGAGGTACATTTCTGGACCGGTGCAGTGGCTCATGCCTATAATCCCAGCAGCACTTTGGGAGGCTGAGGTGAGAGGACTGTCTGAGCCCACGGGTTATAGACCAGCCTGGGCAACTTGGCGAGACCTCATTTCTATAATAAGTCAAAAAATTAGCCAGGTGTGATCACGCATGCCTGTAGTCACAGCTACATGGAAGGCTGAGGCAGAAGGATGGCCTGAGCCCAGCAGGTCGAGGCTGCAGTGGCTATGAGCGTGCCACTGTACTCCAGCCTGGGCTATAGACTGAGACTCCAACTCAAAAAAAAAAAAGAAGTACATTTCTGGCCATTCTTTTTCTTACTCTAACTAATAAAAAATGTCTTTAGTGCTGTAAGAGAATCAAACCATCTCATGAGGTATGAGATTTTATATTAACCCATATGCCCTTAAGAGCAATTATGTATGTAATTGCCTGTTTAGCTTTGGTGACTGTTACCAAGAATTGTAAGTCTTTTTAGAGTCAATAATCCAAATGCATTGAATGGGGTTTTTCCTTTCTTTTTCTTTTTTTTTTTTTTAGTATAGTCTCACTTTGTCACCCAGGCTGGAGTGCATTGGCACACTCATGGTCACCACAGCCTTGACCTGCTGGGCTCAGGTGATCCTTCCACTTCAGCCTTCCAAGTAGCTGGAACTATAAGCACGTGCCATCATGCCCAGCTAAGTTTTTTGATTTACTGTAGAGATGAGGTCTCACCAGTTGTCCAGGCTGGTCTCAAACCCGTGGGCTCAGGCAGTCCTCTTGCCTCAGACTCCCAAAGTGCTGGGATTACAGGCGTGAGTCACTGTGTCCGGCTAAGTTATTTTGAAATGCAAACTATTCTCTAAGATGTCTGCTAGCTTTTGTTTGTATCTTTCTGCTTTGTACTCTTAGAATGAGTTATGGTTGGATTAATAAGTATTCATGTATAAATTTTCTGAATATAAAGAATTACTAGAGGCTGGGTTTAGTGGCTCAGCTGGTAATCCCAGCACTTTGGGAGGCTGAGATGAGTGGATTGCCTGGGCCCACCAATTCGAGACCAGCCTCGGCAACTTGGTGAGACCTCGTCTCTACAATAAAATAAAAAAATTAGCCGGGTGTTGTAATGCACAACTACAGGTTGTGCACAACTACACCTGTAGTTCTGGCTGAGGTGGAAGGATTGCTGGAGCCTAGCAGGTCGATGCTGGGGTGGCCGTGAGTGTGCCTCTGCATTTTAGCCTTGGCAACAAAGTGAGATTTCAACTCAAAAAAAAAAAAAAAAAAGAAGAAGAATTACTAGAACCTGAAGCCAGATGCAGTGGCTCATGCCTGTAATTCCAGCACTTAGGGAGGCCAAGGTGAAAGGATTGTTTCAACCCAGGGATTTGAGACTAGCCTGGGCAATACAGCGAGACCTCATCTCTATGATAAATAAAAAAATTAGCCAGGCATGGTGACGTGCATCTGTAGTTCCAGCTACTTGGAAGGCTAAGGTGGAAGGATCACCTGAGCACAGCAGATCTAGGTTGTGGTGGCTGTGAGTGTACCACTGCACTCTAGCCTGGGGACAGAGAGAGACTCTGACTCACACACAAAAAATAGTTATTAGAACTGCATGTAGTTCACTTTTTGTGTTTTTTGCTCTCCATCAAAATTCTCTAGTCTCATAAACACTAAGACATTTATTGAATGTGTGAAATGAACAAGAAAAATTACTTACTTGGAAAGTAATCCATCAGGTCCTGAAGGCTTTAAAAGGTATTTATCCACTTGCTTGTTAAATAAATAGCGGGGTAGCTGCAAGTGCTGGGTGACATTGTAGAGGTTTATGGCATACAGCGTTAAATCTCCTTCTTTATAACTTGGGCTGAAAGCAAACAGGTTAACTCAGTTAAAATATTTATCTAATCTAAGCGACTAAAAACTCAATTACAGATATAATCACGGCCACTAGTGTCCATAATAATGGCGGGCTCTTTGAGCATCCTTTCTTTTATGAGCATATGAGACTCATGTGGTAGGTCCTATTTAGAAAACATGACTAAAAAACACTACCATTTTCTGGGCAGGAGCACCCAGAGGGCTTTGCTGCTTTGCTGGCTGAGTTGCTCATCTCTGGCCTTATAAACGACTGATACAAATAAGAAAATGAAATCTACTGATATTCTCTAGAATTTATCCATGCAAGCCACTCCCCCACTATGTCCTAGTGGGGGTTCTAGAGTTCTCAGTGACCAGAAATGGAAAACTGTAGGTGGCTTTTTTGGCTAGATTAATATTTTTGGCAACTTGGTTAGACCTCTTCTCTACAATAAATCAAAAAATTAGCCAGGCATGGTGGTGCATGCTGTTGTTCCAGTTTCTTGGAAGGAAGTAGAAGGATCGCCTGAGCCCATCAGGTAGAGGATGCAGTGGCTGTGAGTACGCCACTGAACTCCAGTCTGGGTGACAGAATGAGACTCCCACTCAAAAAAAAAAATTAGTATTTTCATATCCTCTTATCAGGAGTGATAGGTTGAAACCGAAAAGAAGGAAAATCTCTGAAATGTAAGAATAGTTTTTGCAACCAGGCATGGTGGCTCATGCCTGTAATCCCAGCACTTTGGGAGGCAAAGGCAAAAGGATTGCCTGAGCTCATGGGTTCAAGACCAGCCTGGACAACATGGTGAGGCCTTGTCTCTACAATAAATAAAAAAATTAGCAGGGCATGGTGGCACATGCATGTAGTTCCAGTTACTTGGAAGGCTGAGGTGGAAGGATCGCCTGAACCCAGCAGCGTGAGGCTGCGGTGGCCATGAGCATGCCACTGCACTCCAGCCTGGGCGACAGAGTAAAATTCCAACTCAAAAAAGAAAGAATATTTTTTGCTACCTAAAGCAAGAATATGGAGCTACAAAAATCTCTATGGGCTGGCACAGTGCCTCATGCCTGTAATTCCAGCACTTTGGGAGGCAGAGGCAGGAGGACTACTTAAGGCCAGGGGTTCAAGATCAGCCTGAGCAGCTTAAGGAGACCTCAACTCTACAAAAAAAAAACAAAAACATGCACAAACAATTGGTTGAGTGTGGTGGCACATATCTGTAGTCCTAGCTACTTGGGAGGCTAAGGTGTGAGGATTGCCTGAGTCCAGGAGGTCAAGGCTGAAGTGAGCCATGATCACACCACTGCACTGCACTCCGGCCTGGGCAAAAGAGTAAGGTCTTGTCTAAAAAAAAAAAAAAAAAAGAGAGAGAGAGAGAGAGAGAAATCCAAACCAGCAAACAAAAAAAACTCCATGGTCTCTCAACTCCAGAAATTGTAATTGTGATTACAGCTTTTGAAATAATATTGTTGTTGTTAGTGATATTCTCTTTCTTTTAGTTTTTCTTCTTCTTCTTCCTTATCCAGTCCATCAGTTATGATGCAAGGAGATAATATAATTCATATTAATTCATATTCATATTTATATTCATTCATAGTCCTTCAATGAATTCATTGTTCAAAAAAAAATGGCTGTGTTTTCTTACATTTGTACTTTTCTTTATTAAAATTCAGACCATATTTCCATCATAGATTTGACAATTAAAATAATTATATAATATTTGCTGGACTGCAACCGTTTATATTTAAGCAGTTTGTTTTTAGTTAGACACTGACATCATAACACTATGAATACAAAATACAAAACAGAACAATAACACATCTTAGACCCACTGTCAGGACAGATGGCAACAGGGTGTTTGAGTAGGAAGTTATGTGCCTACTGATTAAAATTTGACTGCTAAAGGGCGTGCTTCATACTTACTTGTTGATGTTTGTGCAGTGAAGGTATACTCGAAGTTTCCTTGTGTCTGGGCCTTTCACACTTGCCGTGAACACGCTGCTGCCCACCAATGTCTTGAACAGAAGAGACAGCCAATAATCCTAGTTGTGGCAGTTGGGGAGGAAGGGACAAAAAAATAGATCTTTATTTATTTCCTTATTTAACAAAACCTGTAGCGAGCAAATAGTTATTCTATAAAGAGTGTGACTGTTATCCTAGGGGTATTTAAAGAGAATGTATCTTTTTTTAGAACGTGTGACCACCATTAATCTGAGGCCAATATCTTTTTTGCTGCCTTTTACCACTGGAGGACTGTTTCCATAATTCAAAGAGCCATAGCCTCTAGGTTGGGGGGTCCCCAAACCCTGGGCCACAGACCGATACTAATCCATGGCATGTTAGGAACCAGGCCACACAGCAGGAGGTGACCAGTGGGTGAGTAAGCAAAGCTTCATCTGTATTTATAGCTGTCCTCCATCACTGGCATTACCGCCTGAGCTCCGTCTTCTGTCAGATCAAATGTGGCATTAGATTCTCATAGGAGCATGAACCCTATTATGAACTGCACATGTGAAGGATCTGGGTTGTATATTCCTTATGAGACTCTAATGCCTGATAATCTGAGGTGGAGCTGAGGTGGTGATGCTAGTGCTAGAGAGTGGCTGCAAATACAGATTAACAAGAGCAGTAAGGTTTGAATGCACAGAGACCATAATAAATCAATTGCTTGCAAACACATGTCAAAACCCTATCAGGAGGGACAAGTGAGTTAATGTACTTCAATTGTACAGCTGCATCTGGTGGCAGGCTTTAAGTCAGAATCCAACACTTATTTTAGTCCACGCATGTCCTCCCATTATTTTATTTACCACTTCTGTTTTTTGTTGGTTTTTTTTAGTTGGAATCTTACTCTGTTGCCCAGGCTGGAGTGCAGTGGCATGCTCATGGCTACCATAGTCTTAGCCTGCTGGGCTCAGGCGATCCTTCCACTTCAGCCTTCCAAGTAGTTGGAACTACAGATATGTGCCACCACACCCAGTTAATTTTTTAATTTATCGTAGATACAAGGTCTTGCCAAATTGCCCAGGTTGGTCTTGAACCAGTGGGCTCAGGCAATCCTCTCACTTCTGCTTCCCAAAGTGCTAGGATTACAGGCGTGAGCCACTGTACCTGATTGCCTCTTTTTTTTTTTAAATGGTGAGTTGTATAATTATTTCATTATATTTACAATGTAATCATAATAGAAATAAAGTACACAATAAATGTCATGTTCTTGGATCATCCCAAAACCACCTCCTCCCCAATCCGTGAAAAAACTGTCTTCCAGAAAACTGGTCCCTGATGCCCAAGTTTGGGGACTGCTGTTCTAGGAGATATATTTCAAGAATGATCAGAGAATTTAAATATTCCTGGTGTTTTATCCAATAATTAAAAGCAAAGCTCAAAGCCAAACTTTTAGACACACATTCTCTCTCTCACACACACACACACACACACACACACACACACACACACACACCACACACATACATACACACACACAGATACAAAAAGACAAGTTTTTGAAATAAAATTTTGTCTGCTTAAGACATAAATAATTTCATTTAAAACCATATGCCCCTCATAGTGAAGTAATGATTAAGCAATGACCATCACTAGCTATCAAGGTAAAAAAAAAAGACAACTAGACAGTATGTGCTTCCCAATGAAAGCACACGCTATCACCTATGAAGAATTCTCACAAGAAAACAAAAAACCTGAATAAGCTCAAACTTCTATTAGTTTACAGGAAACATAGAGGACAGGAATGATATCACAGGAATAAATTTAGCAAAATCCAGAATGTGGAAAACATTATAGAGAAAAATTCCTGGTTTCTAAAACTAATAAATTACAAGATGCAAAAGAAAGGGAGGAGGATCTTAAGTACTTAAGAAACACAGCAACCAAATGCAATATATGGATCTTGTTTGGATTCTAATTTGAAAGAACCAATTATCAACAATATTTTAGACAATAAGGAAAAATGTGAAATGCTGACTTTTTGATGATACTAAATAATTGTTGTTAATATTTTAAAGTATGGTAATAGTATTGCATTGTATTTTTACAAAGGAGATACCATACTGAACTATTTACAGGTTAAAAAAATATATGCGAGGCCAGGTGTGGTAACTCACGCCTATAATCCTAGCACTTTGGGGGACTGAGGTGAGAGGATTGCTTGAGCCCAGAAGTTTGAGACGAGCCTGGGCAACATAGTGAGACCTCATTTCTACCAAAAAATCAAAAAATTAGCCAGGCTTAGTGGCATGTACCTATAATCCCAGGTACTTGGGAGGCTGAGGAGGAAGGATTGCCTGAGCCCAGGAGGTCGAGGTTGCAGTGAGCCAAGATCAGGCCACTGCACTCCAGCCTGGGTGACAGAGCAAGACACCAACTCAAAAGAGGGAGAGGATGGGTGCAGTGGCTCATGCCTGTCATCCTAGCACTTTGGGAGGTGGAGGCAAGAAGACTGCCAGCCTGGGCAACATGGAGAGACTTCATTTCTATAATACATTGAAAAATTAGCTGAGTGTGGTGGAGCACCCCTGGGTGGGTGTGGGGGAGCACGCCTGTAGTCCCAGCTACTTGGAAGACCTAAGCCCAGGGGGTCGAGGCTGTGGGGGCTGTGAGCATGCTGCTGCACTCCAGCCAGGGCGACAGAGTGAGACTCCAACTCAAACAAAAACAAAAACGGAGAGAAAACGAGAAGGAGGGAGGAAGGGAGGGAGAAAAATAATGGTCACTTACAGGCAAAGGCTCGAAGTTTTCATCTACTAAGTGGTATTTTCCGGCACCAAAGAACACTTGCCTCATCACCACCTGGATGCCCATTCTGGCTGACAGGCCCAGCTTATCCAGCCACCTGGGGCAGAGCGAGAACACACTTTCTTCAGGCTTGGAAACAAATTCACTCAATTCTAATGACACACTTTCCTGATTCATTCATTTCATTCTGAGAAGAATGAAAAGGAAACCAGAAAAGTGGTATTAATGATCAAGAAGTCACTCAAAGGAAACGGTGATGAGCAGCCGTGGAATCCCCCCTCCACCCCTTCCCACCCTTCCCTGTGATGACAAATCCCAGAAGAAGATTAACACAGGAGAGGAGGCCCTTTCAGGGTAAGACAATGTCGACACAAGCAGAGTCAACGAGTGTCCACCCCATAGACAACTCTGCATCCCGTGGTGCCCCCTACCATGCGAGGGCGGAAGGAGCAGTGGCAGTGACGACAGGGACGTAAGCCGACTCACACCTCAACTGTCATGGCAGCCTCTCGTCCCTCCCCTCCTGTCCGTCTCTGATTATGCCCCGAACCTTTAGTTAACGGCAAGACAAACATCTCTGTTCTGGTCTCTGTTACTCATGTCCCTGTGAACATGAAGGATTTGTGCTTTATTCTGGGCTTACAAGAAAGAGGATGGGAGAGATGAGGATGAGAAAGGAGAGAAAAAAATCTCAATATGAGGATACGGAACTCCGGATTAAAAGACCAGTGGAGTTATCAGATGTATGGGGAACCCAGTGGTCTAAAGCAAGCAGATTTGGGGTGTTGGTGATGCGAGGATTTGATACATCTTTAAATTCTTTGAGAGTGCCTCTGGGTGACTCACAATTCAGGGTCTAAACTTCTCAGGAATCTGAATACAGGTAGGCGTATGGAGCATCTTCCCCAGAGCCAAAGCTCTAGATGCATCTCTGACACTGTGCTTCTTTAGGGTAAGGACTCCTTGGCATATTGATGCGCCACAATTAAAGAACAAAATGTCCACAGCCATTCATCCTTACAAGATGTCCAATGACCTTTATGAAATCATTTTCTTGCAAAATCCAGCAGGGATTTCAGGGCTCCACCCTGAAGCTGTCTTTGATTTACTTTTGGCTGAGGAATTACTTCATTTGAATAGAAGGATGGCCAATAGCTGCCATTTGGTCCCTTAGACCAGGGCTGCTCCACTCACATAAAGCCGGCAGCAAAGGTGTCAGACAGCAAGGGTGCTCCGCCTCCATACGCAGAGCTTGTTTCTCCTAACCACACCTTCTTGCCGGGCCTGGTCTTCTCAACCACCTATGAACAGGAAAGTCTCTATGGTAATTGCAAACAAGCTGGCCAGTTGCATGCTGAAGATGAGCAGCATTCAAAGCCTCACAGTCCCAGACCCATTCACCTTGTTTAGTTACAAAATATGGCCGGGCATAGTGGTTCACGCTTCACATCCCAGCACTTTGGGAGGCTGGGTAGGAAGATCGCTTGAGCCCAGGAGTTTGAGGCCAGTCTGGGCAACTAACTAGACCCTGTCTCTACAAAAAAAAAAATTAAAAATTAACCAGGCGTGATGGCATGTGCCTGCAGTCCCAGCTACTCCAGAGGCTGAGGAGGGAGGATCACTTGATCCTGGGAGGTTGAGGCTGCAGTGAGCTGTGATCAGGCCACTACACTGTGGCATGGGCAATAGAGCAAGATCCTGTCTCACAAAAATAATAAACAAAATATGTTTATAGTCATTTGGGTCTTGGGTAAATTTCTTTTATGGAACACTAGGATGTGGAAGGAATAGAAATCAACCCATTCTTATGGTCTATGATAGTTAATTCTACTAAGAGGCTACTGGAGGTGTTTTAAATTTTTAATCACACATGTGGGTGAGACGCAATGCTAAGGGGGAAGCAATGGTGACTAAGCCATAGTGCTTGTTCTGTAAAATTAGAAAAAGCATATAAAAATAACATATCTCCAGAATTCAGAACAAGCTAGGCTATAACATAATGACTCTGGTTTCGCATTAAACATTTTAAAAGACTATTACCTGGAAAACTTTTTGCACAGATAAAATAAAAGTGTCCAACACATCAGGGTTTAGAAAATCTTCTTTGGTAGCAATTCGTCCATTCAAATAGTAGCTAAATTATTCAGAAAAAAATAAGCTTTACTTTCTGTTTCTAGGCTAACTGCAGGCCTTGTTCTCCTTACTTCTCCCACCCACCTGTTATTTTATATTTAAGAAGGCAGATGTTCTACTAGGGAAAGATCAACTTGGAAGGGGGACGTGGGGAAGAGCCTATTCTATTTAAATAACTAGAGAAATCAGTTACTCTGTCTGGAGAAGACAGTCCCAAGTGCAGGCACTCCTGGATTACTCACTCTTTGACAAGAAATTGGGCTTAGTTGCTTATATGTTCCATTAATTAGCAGTGTATCTCGATCTTCACAGAATCCACCATATTATTTAAAATAAAGTATTTTGCTTTCTTAATACTAAAATGCTAGTACAGTGCTGCTTGAGACACCATTTGTTTCTGATTTGAACTATAGAGTCAACTGGCAGTTAAACAGAAATCATTTTTTGAAAGCTAGGAAATAAAGCTAGCCTTACTTTCCTAGTATTAAGACTGGGAGATGTACTTACTGGTGCCATGTAACTGAATCAATCACTTCTCCCCCAGTCTCCAGGAAACTAGAAAAAAAATCGATTATGTCAGCACTTAGTCATCACATGCACAAACTATATATATATATATATATATATATATATGCACAATGTATGCATGAGAGTTTAATTCCTGAGAAATGAGTCAGTTACTGCTTTAGGATTAGACAAACACAGATTTTCTAATCCTGATAGCAGATTTTCCCCTAGGGGCCATTTGCCTCAGAATCCTTGCTATTCTGGACCAGTCAACATTTCCTTTTTTGGTAAACATGTACTCAGGAGGCAAACTGTGTAACAACAAATGGACTACTGAGGATTTGCTACCGGAGAGGAATGTTTATTTTTAAGAAAAGCGTTTCTTCATCCTCTGGTTCCTACCTCTTCAGCATCTTGACAGTCCTTCTTCGAGGCTGACCAACGTCAGGACCATAGAGTTTTGCATTTTTGAAAGTGGACTTTCTTAGAAGTTTATGCAACTGAATAAAATCTTTTCCTAACTGCAATCCATCGATGAAAACGCCAGCCTTCTTATGGAAACTGTTAGGTTCTGAAAGAGCAATGGTCCAAATCATCACTTACCTAGAAAAGCTGTATTTAAAAGCAAACATCCAATAGCATATAAGAGCAATAAGACAGTTTCCAAATTACAAAAACTTAGAATTCAAAGTCAAGAAAAGTGAATCCCTAGTTATAAAAAGCATGTTCCAGAAAAACAAATATGTAAATTACATAACTGACATATGAGGGAGTATTAACCAATTTGAGGTTAATAATGGGGGTAGTAAACCAATGGATATTTGGGAAATAGTTTGTGTCCAGGATCTAATAACCTAATTTACATTTTTAGACAAAAGTTTAGGACCAGGCCTGTAATCTCAGCACTTTAGGAGGCCAAGACAAGAAGGAGACCAGAGGTCATGAGACCGAGACCAATCTGGGCAACAAAGCAAGACCCTATCTTTACAAAAAAAAAAAAAAAGAGGACCAGGCATGATGGCACACACCTGTAGTCCCAGCTATTTGGGAGCATATCTTGAGCCCAGGAAGTCAAGGCTGTGGTGAGAGCTATGATTGCACCACTGCTCTCCAGCCTGGGCAACAGAGCAAGACCATATCTCTTAAAAGAAAAAAAAAGAGTGCAAGAAGAAGACACATCATATTACTATATCCAATTTCTCATTTTACCTTTAGTTCCACTGGCTGATGTGTAGAAAAAGCATGATGTGTTTTGAATAAATTTGGTTAATCATGAACACTTCAGTTTGAATTTATAAGTGCTGACCAGGTGGCTTATGCCTATAATCCCAGCATTCTGGGAGGCCGAGGCAGAAGGACTGCTTGAGGCCAGAAGTTTAAGATCAGCCTGAGCAAGCAAGCTATAGCAAGACCTTGTCTCTACAAAAAAAAATTTCTAAAAAGAGTCAGGCACAGTGGCACACATCTGTAGTCCCAGCTACTTGGGGGGCTCAAGTGGAAAGATTGCCTGAGCCCAGGAGTTGGAGGCTGCAGTGAGCCGTGATTGTGCCACTGCACTCCAGCCTGGGTGACAGAATGAGACCTCAACTCAAAACACTTAAAAAAAAAGAATGTGTAAGTTCTTTGCAAAAAACAGTGAAGAAGGAGACAACAGGAGCCTGACCCAGGCAGGACCCGAGATTGGTCAGGTCTAGATGCCATAAGCAGGCACCAAAGGTCGAGACAGGGTTGCTGAGATCAACTGGCAAGTTGGGAGACTGAGAAAGGGTGGGAAGAGTGGAAGCACATGAAATGCCACGCCACAGTCTCGCTGACTCCAGCCTGCTGAATAGAAGAGGGTTAAGTGGCTCTGGAGATCTCCAGGGAGCCTGGAGGCTGGGAAGGCAGCTGGCTCCCACGGGTTTTTTTCACCTCAAATGGAACATTAACCAGTAGCAGTAGCAGGCTCTGGGACAGATACCATGTGTGTCTTTTGCCATGTGTGCCTCCGAATGTTACACTGTTGTGCACACACACACACATGTATGTGTGTGTGTATATATGTGTGTGTGTGTGTATATATGTGTATATATATATATATTTTTTGAGTCAGGGTCTCACTCTGTCACCCCAGCTGGAGTGCAGTGGCACACCCACGGCCGCCACAGCCTTGACCTGCTGGGCTCAGGTGATCCTTCTGCCTCAGTCTCCCAAATAGCTTAAACTACAGGTGTGCACCACCACGCCTGGCCAATTTCTTGATTTATTGTAGAGATGAGGTCTCGCCAAGTTTCCCAGGCTGATCTTGAACCCCTGGGCTCAGGGAATCCTCTCTCCTTGGCTTCTCTAAGTGCTGGGATTCCAGGCATGAGCCACCATGCCTGGCCTTGTAATTGCTGATATTAAAAAGCACATCACAGATAGGAAGAAGGAATGAGATTAGCGAGTCTCCTCATGAATGACATGTCCCCAGGCACTTACCATTGCCTAATTCCCAGGAAATGTTGTACCTCTGGGAAGAGCAGTAGTCCAGCAACAGGTGGGCATTGGAACTGTTCCACTGCAAATCTGCTGTTCTCAGGAGTGCATTGAGGCCGAAGATCAAGTTCAGTCCTGAGCAATTCGCAAAAGCATATAGCATATCTACTGAGCTTCCTGAAAGAAAAATGTTGCAGCTTTATGGCTGGGTCGGCACCACAGCAAAGAGGGCCTCCAGATGTGCTCTTCACAATAAGTTACTTTTTTTGTGCCAGGTGTGGTGGCTCATACCTGTAATCCCAGCACTTTGGGAAGTGGAGGCAAGAGGATGCCAGAGTCCAGGGGTTTAAGACCAGCCTGGGCAACTTGGCAAGACCTCATCTCTACAAAAGATCAAAAAATTAGCTGGGCATGGTGGTGCACACTTTTAGTTCCAACTACTTGGGAGGCTGAGGTGGGAGGATTGCCTAAGCCCAGCAGGTCAAGCTGCAGTAGCTGTGATTACGCCACTGCACTCCAGCCTGGGTGACAGAATGAGACTCTGACGCAAAAGAATTTTAAAAATAAAAAAATGAAATTATTCTTTCTTTTGTTAAATGGAAGGAAATCTACTCTAACAAGAGACTGGAATTATGTCTAAGGGACAACTAAATTGGACAGGCAAATTAAAAAAAACCAATCTGACATCATTTGCTTCAGTTGTTGAATGGAGCCCCCAAGGCAGGTGCTAGAAGCTCTGGTCTGGAAGCAGGCTTTGTCCACATGACATCAGGTGAGCTGGGGAAACCACCACTTGTGGCTCAGTGCTTGACATGCACAGCCAGACTGTCACTGGTCAGCACAATCCCCGCTCTTAAATCTGAATATCTCTCCTCCCGAACTCAGCTACAAAATATCTTGGTAATTTTAATTGTATCTAAAACAATCTTTTAAGACTCCATGTATACGGTTTATTAATTTAAATATATAGCATTTTACATTAAAAAATCGGCCTAGGCTATCAGATTGTGGCTTCCAAACTTTGTGCCACATCACCTCATGGAGCCATGGTGAGTTCATGGGTGTGGCTGTAGGATTGAACAAGCACAAACAGTTAATGCTGACCTTCGGATAAATAATAAACAATTTCCAGTACATGTCCTCCGCCATGGTTCAGAAATACTTAACACGAAAGGAAGTACTGTTAGTTGTCTGAAAGTCAACTCTAGCCAGACAGTCCTACTCACAGAGGCACTGCAGGGTCTTTCAAGATTGCAAGGAAAAACATCAACATCTATCAGGTAAGACCAGAATTATTAGGCTATCTAGACCTAACAATGTAATAATCAAATTGTAGGTATTTCTTTTAGCCCAGGTGTGCTGTGAAAACATTTCTGAGACATTAAGATGCCATTAATGTTTGGGATCTTCTCTATTCTGCTTTATTTTTATTTTTGTTTGAATAAAGACAGGGTCTCACTGTGTTGCCCAGGCCAGTCTCATACTCCTGAACTCCAGCAACCCTCCTGCATCAGCCTCCCACAATGCTGGGATTACAGGTGTGAGGCACCGTGCCTGGCCTATACTCTGCTTTTTTTTGAGTTGGAGTCTCACTCTGCCGCTCCCGGCCACTGCAGCCTCAACCTGCCGGGCTCCGGCAATCCTTTTGCCTCAGCCTTCCAAGTAGCTGGAACTACAGGCATGCTACCACGCCCGGCTAATTTTTGATTTATTGTAGAGATGAGGTCTCGCCAAGTTGCCCAGGTGGGTCTCGAACCCGCAGGCTCAGGCAATCCACTCACCTTGGCCTCCCAAGGCGCGGGATTACAGGCTGAGCCACTGAGCCCGGCTATACTCTGCTTTTTAACAATTAGGTAGTCTATAATCACTTTTTGAGAGTTGGTAACAATATAATTTCAAATGTTGTCTTGAAATCAGTTATTATATGCAAAGTAATTCCTTGCGATGTTCATGTATATTTAGAAGCATTTGTTTAAAAAGTAATTCACTCTTGAACTTGCCTAGTTAAAAAAAAAATCTCTATCTGGCAAACTTACACCCTGTCAAAAAGTGGCTTTGCTTTAGTTTTGTTTCTAAGTCTTCAGCCTGAATTACTTGGATACTCACAGTTGTGAAAGCCTCAAGTTAATGTTGCCAATAAAGGACGCCATGCAGAAACAACTCCAGCAAGCTGCTTCAGCCACTGCAGCCTAGACCAGTTGGGCTCTGGTGAACCTTCTACCTCAGCCTCCCGAGTAGCTGGGATTACAGGCATGTGCCCCCATGCCTGGATAATTTTTTGATTTACTGTGGAGATAATGTCTCACCAGGTTGCCCAGGCTGATTTCAATCCTCTCACATTGACCTTCCAAAGTGCTGGGATGACAGGCAGAAGCCACTGTGCCCAGCCTGCTTTAAGTGTTCTGATATTTGCTGTGTCACCGACTTCCACAAACTGATGCCTTCCATCAAAGAATGCCAGACATTAGGGTTTGAAGAACTCCCTGGAGTTCTTCAACCCAGCATGCCACTGGACCGTAGAGTCATGGTTTACACTGAGCTTCTTCCAAGATTCCCCCCTCATTTTTCTGTGAGGAAACTGAGATCCAGACGAGTTACGTGCCTTGCTCAGCGTCACGTGGCTTTTGGAAGTCGTGCCATGACTAGAGGTGTTGCAAAGTTCATGGCTGCCTTAATCACAACTATATTGTAGGCTGCTATCTTGCAAAATCATGTTTTGATTGATTGTTTGATTGATTGATTGACTGAGTCAGAGTCTCTGACACCCAGGCTGGAGTGCAGTGGCATGATCTTGGTCACCACAGCCTTGACCTGCTGGGCTCTGGTGATCTTTCCACCTTAGCCTTCTGAGTAGCTGGGACTACGCCATGCCTTATTGCCCATGCTGGTCTCGAATCCCAAAGTGCTGGGATTACAGGCATGAGCTACCATGCCCAGCTGCAAAACCATGATTTAGAATGTGTCCTGGGTCAGGAATTCAAAGACTTGAACTCAGGTCCAGCTCTCCCACTTACAGACCATAGAACATGATTGGGGTCACGTCCTTACCCTGCAGGAGCCTCAGCTAAGGGACTACAGTCCTAGAACGGGCACCATCACACGCCTACCCCACAAAACCCAGGTTGAAATGAAACACGGAAACGGTCTGTGAATCATAAACAACCTCTGAAGATAGAAAGCACTGCTATTGCCGAGTCCCTTGACAAAGATTACAGCATCTTCCAAAAGCCTGGAATGTTTGCATTTTAAAGTATTTATTCAACTCATACTTAACTCTCCCTTGACTTCATTCTTCTAAATGCCCTTGGAATTTATGTAGCTTGAAACTCTACGATACATGCCCTATAATTCAATAAATAGCAGTATCTTCTAGAATAAAGGCTATCTAGGACTGAGTTCAAATCTATTCTTTAAAAAAACAAAGAGAGCGAGCCACACAGTCTACTCCCTCCCCTAAATAGAAAGAATAATAAGAAACTCACAACTCATTATCCTATTCCCAATCATTTTCCAAACTCTTATCTCTTACTGTTTGAGATAGCAGGAAAATCCTTGGAATGAGACATCCCAGATGACACATTTTTTATTTTTTATTTATTTATTTATTTATTTTTTGAGTTGGAGTCTCACTCTGTCGCCCAGACTGGAGTGCAGTGGCCGCTCCTGGCCACCGCAGCCTTGACCTGCTGGGCTCCGGCGATCCTTCCGCCTCAGCCTTCCGAGTAGCCGGAGTTACAGGCATGCGCTACCACGCCCGGCTGATTTTTTTTATTTATTGTAGAGATGAGGTCTCGCTGCCCAGGTGGGTCTCGAACCCACGGGCTCAGGCAATCCACTCACCTCAGCCTCCCAAAGGCGTGGGATTACAGGCTGAGCCACCAAGCCCGGCTTGGATGACACATTTTTAAAAAATGGTAGCCGGTCATGGTGACATGTATCTGTAATCCTAGCTATTTGGGAGGCTGAAGCAAGAGGATTGCTTGAACCCAGGAGTTTAATACTGCAGTGAGCCATGATCATGCCGCTGCACTCAAGCCTGGACGACAGAGTGAGATCCTGTTTCTAAAAAAATAAATAAAAGAAAAGCAGACTCTTTCCAGTGCGTTCTGCCATGTAAGTTTACATAAGAGTGTCTAGCCTCGAGGGTGGGACTGGGTGCTGGAGGTGGAAGAGTGGAATGAGGAGGAAGAGAGGTGGATAAGAAGGTGAGCAAGAAACTGGCTCATTAGGATGATTGTTTTAATAAGGGAGAGCTACTCCCAGCATGACATCTGATACAGTGCTTCCTCTTCCTGTCCAAACAGGTTTACGATGTGAGTCTATGTTCTCATGACACATGTTTTTGTCATCTTCTAATTAAGTGGAACACACCACCCATGGGAATCTGTATTAGAAAACTTACCTCTGTCTTCTGGGACACCTATTTTCAGGCCATTAGCTAGGCAATTCACATGTCCTAGCCACCACAGACCTGTTCTTCCTTCGTGGGATGCCCCCGTGACACTCAGCCATGACGACCCTCAGCGACAGAACAATGTGTGGAAACCCCAACTGGCTTCTGAGACACTTGTCTCTATAACGAGTAGGTGCCTGGACAGTAGAGTTCTATCTATGTTTCCATGACATGTCCATGAATGTGGGAAATGTCAAGCCACAAGTCAAATGTTTCCAAATACAAATAAAACATCTGCATTTGTCACTAATTTGAGTATTGCCAACATGGTGGCTGGAGTTAGACGAACCCAGCTGCATAGTTAGCAAAGGCAGGCATTTTCCCTGGTGTGGGGCTGCGAAGACCAGGTCCTAGGGACAGGCAATGACATTGGACACCCGTCATCCTGGCAACACAAAGATGGTGTAAGGCAGCACACCTATTTTTAGAAATTGACGATAAATTGGTATGCTTAATATGACCCCAAGAAACTGGGGGGGGGGGGGCAGAATCCATGAGTTACCTAATGCCATGGGTCTTCTCCCACAGGCCTGTATTATAATGACTTATTACAAATGTGACCTTATGATTGTGGTTCTGGTACTGTCTGTCATTCCCTTAATGGGATCTGAAATGGCCCTGCCTTATTGCATATTCCATTAAAGTGAGAGTAGCTTTACTCCCCTTAAAAATGCAAAAAATAGTTTAAAGACTACATCAGCTATTAGCATATAAGCTATTAATGTGATACATTCTCATGTGTCACATTTTTTTTGTACCTCATAAATAAAAAATATATATATATATAAATTTAAAATCCATCTGATTCCCTGAACTTCAGGTGGTATACAGTAAAAATCTTACAAAGATAAATAATTTATTTTAAATAATGTAAATTTATTTTAAATTATGCTGACCAGCCCAAATAAATACAGTAACTTCAAGATAATTTATTTTTTCAAAAGTCAAAAGCAGTTTTGGAGGGCCTGATCAGGTTATTTTCTTAACTGAGATCTGGGTAATGTCATCCCTTGGTGGGTTATAGAACATCAACTTTCAGCCGGGCTCGGTGGCTCATGTCTGTAATCTCAGCACTTTGAGAGGCCAAAGTAAGAGGATTGCCTGAGTCCAGGGGTTTGAGACCAACCTGAGGCAACCTGACAAGACCTCATCTCTACAAAAATTCAAAAAATTAGCTGGATGTGGTGGCACACACCTATAGTTCCAGCTACTTGGAAGACTGAGGTGGAAGGATTGCCTGAGCCCAGCACGTCAAAGATGAGGTGGCCATGACTCTGACTCAAAAAAAAAAAAAAATCTACAATGACCATGTATGTACCTGATCTTGATTGCATCCCACATTTTAAAAATAAAATAAAACAACTTTCAGATGGAAATATAGCTAACAGTTAATCAGAATTGCTTGTCTCACTTGCATTAAAGTCCTACGAGACAATGGCATCTCACTTTGAAGAATGGAAAAGGGTTTCCGTGGATGGAAGTGCGTTCCTGGCTTGCTGAGCCAGTCCTGTGTCTGCAAAGCCACAGAGGAAAGAACAAGAGACAGGTGCTGGTGGCCAAGGCTGTCTGGTCTGACTCAAGATGCCTCTGCTTGATACTATCAACCAGTTTGCACCGGGGGGGACTTCTGGGAGGGGCATGGACAGTGAGGTGTGAACTTTTAAAAAATTTTATCCCTTATACTTCTGCATTTTACTTTTTTTAGTTAGGGTCTTATTCTGTAGCTCAGGCTGGAGTAGCCCAACCCAGGCTCAGGTGATCTTTCTGCCTTAGCCTCCTGAATAGCTGTAACTACAGGTGTGTGCCACCACGCCTGGCTAATTTTTTGATTTTCTATAGAGATGGGGTCTTATCATGTTGCCCAGGCTGGTCTCAAACTCCTAGACACAAGCAGTCTTCCCAGCTCGGCCTCCCAAAGTGCTGGGATTACAGGCATGAGTCACTGTGCCTGGCCTGTATTTTACTTTTAAATGAGGAATATACTCATGTCTTCCTTGACTCTCCAGTTCTGAGCAGTGAAGGACATTATTAGATCATGGATGATTAATTTGTCTTTAAGTCTGCTGGCTACCACCCAAAGTTAGTTGAAAGAAAAAAACAAACAAACTTGGAAGTTTCAGGTATAGGATTCCCATCTGGAAAACTTCTGGGTATTATTCACTTTATATAACTGCTGTAGGGCTTAGGAGAGTCTAGCCCAAGTCCAACCCATCCAAACATTTTCGGGACAGGACCCCCTTCCAGTGCCTTCCACTTCTTACTTGAATAAGTGCTGTTCTTGAACTTCTTCTCATATTGTTCTCTGAGTAGCAACTGCTCCTGGATGGGCCATTCCAATTGTAACCTCTTCTCTACACCAGGAGGGATGGATCCAGATTTGCAAATATCTGCAAAAAGAAGAGATAGTTCAGAGGATCTATATTCACAGTGAGAAGGTTGGAATCCTATACACAATATTAGCTATTTCCATGACTAACACAGGATAACTATGCTTCTGGTTATAGGGCGTAAGGTGAGAGAAAGATGTATTCTGTTGCCATGTCAAATTTGCCAGTTTACCAATCACCACAAAAAAACAACCAAAGTGAAGATTTCCTAAGAAAATGAACATACACAGATACATTGGACATGACTTCAAGTTATTTAACAATTCAGGGCTGGGCACCATAGCTCATGACTATAATCTTAGCACTTTGGGAAGCCGAGGCAGGAGGATTGATTGAGCACAGGAATTCAAGACCAGCCTGGACAACATGGTGAGACCTTGGCATAGTGGTGCGTGCCTGCTGTCCTAGCTACTCAGGAAGCTGAGGTAGGAGGATTGCTGAAGTCCAAGAGTTCAAAGCTGCAGTAGCCGTGATCGTGCCACTGCACTCCAGCCTGGGTGACAGAGTAAGAGAGTAAGACCTTGACTTAAAAAAAAAAATCCAGCTGGGCTCGGTGGCTCAGCCTGTAATCCCACGCCTTTGGGAGGCTGAGGTGAGTGGATTGCCTGAGCCCGCGGGTTCGAGACCCACCTGGGCAGCGAGACCTCATCTCTACAATAGATCAAAAAATCAGCTGGGTGTGGTAGCGCATGCCTGTAATTCCGGCTACTCGGAAGGCTGAGGCGGAAGGATCGCCAGAGCCCAGCAGGTCGAGGCTGCGGTGGCTGGGAGCGGCCACTGCACTCCAGTCTGGTAACAGAGTGAGACTCCAACTCAAAAAAAAAAAAATCCAAACAATAACAACAAAAAACAATTTAGAAGGCTCCTCAGAAACCTGAAATGACCAGAGATCCCTAATGAAAAAAACAATTCAGCTCTCTTAAGGTTCACTTTCAAAATACACAGAAATGTGCTGGGTGCAGTAGCTCACATCTGTAGTCCTTAGCACTTTGGGAGGCCAAGGATTGGCCTTGTAAACAATTGCCTGAAAACAGGAATTCAAGACCAGCCTGGGCAACTTGGTGAGATCTTGTCTCTATAGTAAATAAAAAAATTAGCCGGTAGTAGTGGCACATGCCAGTGGCTCCAGCCATTTGGAAGGCAGGATTGCCTAAGTCCAGTAGGTCGAGGCTGTGGTTGCCATTAGTGTGTCACTGTACTCCAGCCTGGGTGACAGAGTGAGACTTTGACTCCAAAAAAAAAAAAAACAAACACAGGAATGTGCTTTGCATGGACTATATTTGCATTGTGGTGATTGCCTGTTGCCTCATGGAAGGGAAGACAAATATCACTGACTTTTTCCCCTTTGAATTTGGTGCCATCAAAACTTCTGGAACCACAAGGTGTGCCCTTGGAAAGACCCATCACTCTCCCGTCAACCAGATAATTTATCTTAAGACAGCAGGGTCACTGGAGCTCTGCCAGGGTTGGCCACGTGGCCCAGGACTTCTTCTCTGGAAGCTGTGCACCGTGATCTGTAGATGGTCGGTGCCTCCCCCATCCCTATGCTCCCAAGGGACGTGTCAGAGGAAATGGATCATTCCACTGACCCCCACATCAGGATGAAAAAACCTGATGAGCACAGGACAGTTTCCTGTTTAAACTCATGAGGCCTCCTGGACATATAACTGGTGGGAAACGGCCACATCTACACATCGACTTTTCTGACCTACTCTTCACAGAGAACCTTTGTGCCTTTTTTCTAGTTCCTGTTCTGTCGATTAGTGATGAAGTGTTCTAAATACTTCCTAACTGGAAAAAATAAACAGAAGGAAAGTCTGTAATGTATGAAATAATTACATATTCCTCATGAAATATACATTAGACACACATGACCATAATACATTGACGGGCACAATCTTTTTAGTAATTAAAAAAAATTTAATTAATTTTTTGTAGAGATGGCGTCTCACTATGTTGCCCAGGCTGGTCTAGGACTCCTGGGCTCAAAAGATCCTCTCACCTTGGCCTCCAAAGCTCTGAGATTACTGATGTGAGCCACTGCACCTGGCCTAGCTATTGTTAAGACAATGACCTGACTTCCATTTGATGTGTGACAGCACTTCTGAAAATGGTTCCCTAGAGCAGGTTTCTCAGGTGAAGCCCATAGACATCCAACATCAGATCACATGACAAGGCTGCTAAAATTGGAATCTAAGACTGCAGCCCAGAAGTCTAAACATTCAAACTCTCAGGTGGTTATGGATAGTCGGTAAAACTTGAGAACCACTGCCCAGAAAGTCAAGTCTCCAAACCTGCTCTTAGAAGGAGAGTATATCTCCTGCTTGTCCTGCTGTCCTTTCTCTCTCCTTTCTCCATTTCCATCTCTCTCTCTCTCATTCCTCCGTCTCTCTGCAATTGTTCAGTCACAGTTCCCTGTAACCTCAAACTCCTGGCCTGAAATGATCCTCCCACCTCAGCCTCTGGAGTAGCTGGGACTACACGGCGCACCATCATGCCCGGCTAATTCCTGCTGTTACACCTTTCACCCCTCTTCTACTTCTGGCATACATGTGCTTCAGTCTATTGCTGTGTCTTCAACTGGAAATACTCTCTTCAGTTTAACGCATTTTACCCACGTGCACCCTCCACCAGCTCTGTCCTTCAGCTACAATCACTAGTTCCAGCACAATCAGCTCTCCATCATGCCTGGCACACGCCTTCCTTGGGTGTCTCACATTCATGAAGGCAGCATAGTGAGGATACCCGCCCACGACTTCCTCCTTTTGTTCAGGTGGCTCCATGGGTCAGCTGGGGGCCTAACCTCACTAATTGATAGGTGTGAGCACCAACAGGTTTCTCTAAATATTCTCATGACTGACTTGAGTTAATTAAAATAGACAGTTCATATTTTTTTTTAAGTCTCACTGTTGTTGTCTTGAGATTGCCAGTAACTTCTCTCTTCCAAGGTGGGTTCCTTCTTAGGATTGAAAATCAGGAAGTCTGTCTTGGTGCCACCGAATCTCAAGTACGCAGGAGACAAGCCTCTGGCCAAGGTACGAAGCTTTGGAGAACTGTCAGGAAGACAAGTAAGAAAGAACAATTTTTTTTTCCCCAAGACAATCCGGTCAAATATGTTACTTCTTGGCAGGCCTATGTCTTAACATCTAGCTGAGCAGACTTGGGGGGAGAAGTCAGTCTGTTTTAAAGGGGCATCATCTTCAATCTGAATCTTTCTAATTGCAGGATGTTCTTCCACACAACTGAAGGTCACTTGGTGCTCTAATTCTGGCAAGAGTTTATATTTTAACTCTGTAGGTAAAATATTGTTTGGTACTTAAAAGAAAAAAGATGCGACCGATGTGGTGGCTCATGCCCATCATCCCAGCACTTTGGGAGGCCGAGGCGGGAGGACTGTTTTAGTCCAGGAGTTCGAGGCTGCAGTGAGCCACAATCCGTGCCACTACACTCCAGCCTGGGAGACAGAGCGGGATCCTGACTCAAAAATAAATAAATAAATAACACTCACAACCTTTTATGATTAACAGAGGGAAAGAAGAGAAGGTGAACCTAGGGAAAGACAACTCTGTGTCTCTTTGAAAACTAGATTGTCCCAGGCAATGGGAACAGTCAAACCATCAGTGGTTGCCAGAGTTGGGGTGGGGTACAGGGAGGGAGGGGTGAGTAACGGAACACAGGATTTTTAGGGCACTGAAAATACTCTGTGTGATGCTATGATGGTGGACACATGTCATCACACATCTGTCCAAGCCCACAGAATGTACAACACCAAGAGTGAACTGTGACATGAACTGGACTTTGGATAATAATGATGAGTCACTGCAGGTTCATCATTTGGGACAGATATGCCACTCTGGGAGGGTGTTGATAACAGGGAGTCTGTATATGGGAATGGGGGAATATGGGAAGTCTCTGTATCTTCCTGTCAGTTGTGCTGTGAAGCTAAAACTGTCGCCCGGGCTGGAGTGCAGTGACATGATCACAGATACCATAGCCTCGACCTGCTGAGCTTAGGTGATCCTTCTGCCTCAGCCTCCCGAGTAGCTGGGACTACAGGTGTGTACCACCACACTCAGCTAATTTTTTTATTTATTGTAGAGATGAGGTATTGCCAAGTTGCCCAGGCTGGTTCAGCTAACAATTTTTTTTTTTTAAATAGAGATGAGGTCTTGCTATGCTGCCGAGGCTAGAACTGGACTCGAACTCCTGAACCCAAGCAATCCTCCCACCTCGGCCTCCCAAAGTGCTGGGACTATAGGCATGAGCCACTGTGCCCAGCCAGGGTTTTTTAAAAAGTGGAGACTGAGAAAGGCAGGGAAATGAAGAGTTATGGGATGAGACTAAGGGCCAAGGGGGCCTAGAGATCACACATTTCTGGTGCAGCGTCTGTCTCTGTGACTGGGAGACAGCCTGCTCCCTCCTCTCCGAGAGCTCAGCAGCCCAGTTACACAGGGTGGCCACTAAGCCTGGAAGCAGAGGAAATGTGTAAATGGCTTATTAAGATGCATTAACATTCATAATCAAGTAATATTTTTTCATTTCCAGATTCGGGGCTGCTCAAAGAGAGAAAATACAGTTGGACCAAGACAGATTTGGAGTTTTGGCAGGAAGAACAAGATGGCCTGTGTGAGGATCAAGAAGCCCAAGTCAGATGTGGGGGAAGGCGAGCAGGCAGAAAGCTGTTCACTGAGGGTGTTTAAGATGAGTGTGATGGGAACCACAGAGCAAAAGAACTGAGAAGGTACAAAGCTGCGGCCCACGGATGGGAGGCTTGAATTTGAGATTTCAGGTGCTGAAAGGCTCTTAGTGTTGAAAACAGTTGAAGCACTGTCAAGGAATTGGGTGGTTGAAATGGAAGGACACAGTGAGTGTTGATAAGCCAGAAAAAAAATGCCCTGCTCGCTAGTGTTTGCCAATTTCCGTGACATGAATATTCTCCCCATGGCTAATTCAATCCCATGTGATGTCACTGAATGCAAGAGTTGAGAAGAAATGCATACAAACTGGTGCAAGCTGGTGCCACTATAACATTGAGTGGAGATGACCAAAGAATGTGGGCCAGGCATGGAGGCTCATGCCTATAATCCCAGCACTTTGGGAGGCAGAGGCAAGAGGATTGCCTGAGACCAGGGGTTCAAGACCAGCTTGGGCAACTTGCTCATCTCTACAATAAATACAAAAATCAGCAGGGCATGGTGGTGCACACCTGCAATCTGAGCATTTTGGGAGGCTGAGGTGGTAGGAGGATCACTTGAGCCCAGAAGGGGGTGGAGGTGGAATCAGAGTTCTTTCTTTCTTTTTTTGACTTGGAGGCTCACTCTATTGCCCAGGCTGGAGTGCAGAATGGCATGATCACAACTCACTGCAGCCTCGACCTCCTGGGCTCGGGCAATCTTTCTGCCTCAGTTTCCCGAGTAGGTGGGACGACAGGAGCAAGCCACTACACCTGGCTATTTTTAAATTTTTTTTGTAGTTGCAAGGTCTCGCTATGTTGCCCAGGTTGGTCTTGAACTCCTGGGCTCAAGCAATCCTCCCACCTCAGCCTCTCAAAGTGCTGGGATGACAGGCGTGAGGCACTGTGCCCAGACTGGCTGTGGATACTTCTGTCATCATAGGTACAAGGAAGGCCTCTGGCTCTTTCCCACACTGGGAGGCCAAGCCTGTGTTTAACACTAGCAGCAAGTGCTTTTCCGAATATGAAAAGCAACTGTGTCAAGAAAGATGCACGAATCTCATCACTGAAAGTTAGTGTTTATCGAATGGGCAAAGAGACAGACACTGCTGGAAAGAATAAGCCACCGCTGTAATGGTGAGCACCAGTGCCTTCTCACTGCCACTGCTGTTCATGCCACTTTGTGGGCCGATGCTCTCTGCTGCTGACTCAGCACCATACGTTTCCACCTTGAGTTAGTAAACTGTGTTTGTGCATCTTGGCTGAAATGTGGAGCCGCGCTGTCCAATACCTGTGAGCACTTGAAAAGTAGTCAGTCTGAGAACTGCTGTAAGGACACAATACACACACCAGACCTTGGAGACTTGGTTCAAGGAAAGGAGTGTTCAATATCTCGTTAATATTTTTACACTACTTACATGTTAAAATGATAAAAAACTAAAATGAGCTTTAGTTTTCGTTATTAAAATTAACTGCACTTACTTTTTTTCTTTTTTTAATATGGCTCTGGGAAATTTAAAATTACACATGTGCCTTGCATATAAGCCTCATTTTTATTTTTATTTTTTGAGTTGGAGTCTCTGTCGCCTAGACTGGAAAGCAGTGGCCGCTCCTGGCCACCGCAGCCTCAACCTGCTGGGCTCCGGTGATCCTTCCGCCTCAGCCTTCCAAGTAGCCGGAATTACAGGCATGCGCTACCACGCCCGGCTGACTTATTTATTTATTTATTGTAGAGATGAGGTCTCACTGCCCAGGCAGGTCTCGAACCCGCGGGCTCAGGCAATTCACTCACCTCAGCCTCCCAACGGCGTGGGATTACAGGCTGAGCCACCAAGCCCGGCTAAGCCTCATATTATATATACATATTTTCAGAGACAGAGTCTTGCTTTCTCAAACTGGAGTGCAGTGAGGAGCACAATCATAGCTCACTGCAGCCTTGACCTCTTTGCCTCAAGCAAAGCCTCCCAAGTAGCTGGAACTACAGGTGTGTGCCACCATGCCCAGCTACTTTTTTTTGGTAGAGAAGGGGTCTCACTAAGTTGCCCAGGCTAGTCTTGAACTTCTGGCCTCAAGTGATCCTCCTGCTTCAGCCTCCCAAAGTGCAGAGATTATAGCATGAGCTACTGCACCCGGCCAGAAGTAGTTTGATTGGTTTGCTGATTAATTCCATCTGGGAAGAGGACAAGTTAAAAAGATGCTTTTTTCCAATTCTAGGTTGTCCTATCACTGGCATTTCAGTTTTGTGAACTTTATGTTATCTGGCTGCAAATGTGAAAAACATCCCAAACAAACCCGTTTGCCATCGTGGGAAGTCAGAACGACTTCATAAGACTCCTTAAGCCTCTTGTGAAGCACCTTAGAGGTTTAGCCCTGATACTCCTCCTCTTGTGAGAATGCTTCTTTTCATTTTATCAACCTCTCACTTCATTTCTAGAATATCTTCTTCTGCCATATCTGTTTCTTTTTTAAAATATAAGCTGCTTTTCCTTTCTGTGTGTATTGTCTCTGTGACCAGAGTCTGGTTTCAAGCTGTGCTCTTTCTTTCCTTTCCTGCCTGGCTGGCCATGGCCAAGTTTTTCAATCTCCCTGAGGCTAAATATCTTCTCTTTTTTTTTTGAGTCAGTCTCACTCTGTCCACCAGACTAGAGTGTAGTGGCACAATCACAGCCACAGCAGCCTTTACCTGCTGGGTTCAGGTGATCCTCCCACCTCAGCCTTCCAAGTAGCTGGAATCACAGGCGCACACCATCACGCCTGGCTAATTTTTTGATTTATTGTACAAATGAGGTCTCACCAAGTTGCCCAGGCTGTTCTCAACCCCTGGCCTCAGGAAATCCTCCTGCCTGGACCTCCCAAAGGGCTGGGATGACAGGTGTGAGTCACCACGCACGGTCAATGTCTTGATTTTTAAAAGTGGAATGACAGTGCTTGCCTCGGTGTTGTAGCAAGGACTAAATGGATCAGCACCTAGAAGGTGCTTGGAGCAGGGCCAGGCACATGACAAGGGCTCGGGGAGTGTCAGCCATCTGTGTCCTCCTTTGCTTCCTCATTCCTCCAGCTTCTCACTCAGCTCTTGCTACCCTTGCCCACACACCCTCACTTTTGAGGAAGTGTCATAAAACGACAGCCATCTCCCCCTCCTTTGTGTGGGCAGACACCAAGCTGGGTGTTGCCTTCTGAGATGGCTGGGCCACTTGGGTTCAGTGCTAAGCATTCTGGGACATGGACCCTCTGATCCCAGCTTAGAAACTGGACAGTGGAGCTCCTGCCTCTTTCAGGGCTTGGCTGAGGATAGTCTGGATGTGCTTGTAGCTGCTTCTGGGGAGCAGGTATGGGAGACTGGCCTCTCCCAAAGAGAGGAACTGGCCAGACAGGAGCCAAGCCCGGAGAGAAGCATGTGTGGACAGGAACAAAAGCAGCTTTTATTTTTCAATCAGGGTCTCACTCTGTTGCCCAGGCTGGTGTGTAGTGGCATGATCATGGCGACTGCAGCCTTGATCTCCTGGGTTCTGGTGATCCTTCCACTTCAGCCTCCCAAGTAGCCAGGTAGTTTTTTCAATTTTTTTGGTAGAGACCAGGTCTTGCTGTGTTGCCCAGGTTGGTCTCGAACTCCTGGGCTCAAGCAATCCTCTTACCTCGACCTCCCAAAGTGTGGGATTACAGGCATAAGCTACCGTGCCCAGTCAAAAAAAAGTTTTCTCCATTGCATGCTATGCCTCTTGGTTTTTTCAAGATCTTCCAGTCTTCAACAAAAAGGTGGGGCTTAGGGGAAAGACATACTACTAGGGGAAACTGAGGGATGTGTTTAGAGACAACAAAGGCATCACTAACTGCAGACTGGAAGTGCTGTGTGCTGGAGTCTTCTAGTCAGCGGGGTGAGCCTGACTGCAGGTGGTCAGGCCTGGCCCTTGGAGGTCCCACTGCAGGGTTTCTCCTTGGGATCTGCTCCTCCAGGGAGGCATCTGTCCTTCTTGGGCAGGGGAAGGGGCATGTGCCAGCTGAACTGGATCCTCCCATTTGAGGACAATGGACACCCACTGCAGTTCTGGGTTCAGTGAGGCACTGCCTCCCTCCTCATTTAGGCCTGGGGTCCTCAGGCCTGGAGTCCTGTGGTCAATGGTCTTTTTTTTTTTTCAAGTAGGAGTCTCAATCTGTCACCCAGGCTGGAGTGCAGTGGCACAATCATGGCCACAGCAGCCTCAACCTGCTGGGCTCAGATGATCCTTCCACCTCAGCCTCCCGAGTAGCTGGAACCACAGGCATGCACCACCACGCCTGGCTAATTTTTTTACTTATTGTAGAGGCAAGATGCCCAGGCCGGTCTCGAGCCCCTGGACTCAGGCAATCCTCTCACCTCCGCCTCCCAAAGTGCTGGGATTATAGGTGTGAGCCACCATGTCCAGCTGGTCGAGGGTCTTTGGAGTAATCTCTTTATGCCCCAACCAGCTGCTGCCTGGTATCAACTTCTCTAAAGGGCAGGGCAAAAAGTGAGGACTCGTCCCCATCAGGAAGTTCTGGTGCCACTTGGGAAAAGATAGTGGTTAACTACGATTAAAGGAAACACATGGAGATGGGTGTGGTGGTTCATGCCTGTCATCCCAGCACTTTGGGAGGTCGAAGCGGGAGGATTGCTTGAGCCCAGGAGTTCAAGACCAACCTAGGCAACATAGTGAGATCTGTCTCTACAAAAAAATCAAAACGTCAGCTGGGTGTGGTGGCATGTACCTATAGTCCCAGCTACACGGGAGGCTGAGGTGGAAGGGTTGCCTGAGTCTAGGAGGCTGAGGCTGTGGTGAGCTGTGATCATGCCACTGCACTCCAGCCTAGGCAACAGAGTGAGACTCCTACAAGAAAGAAAGAAAGACATAGACAATCGGAGAATGGTTAGTACATAATCACCATTTCCCAGGAAGAAACAATTAGCTTAAACCTCAGATACTTTCTCTGAGGGAAACACCAGGCTAAGTACTTGCTACTTCCTCAAATTCTCTTTGCGTCCTTAGGGGGTGGGCTTTAAAAATTCCATTCTACAGATGAAGTCCAGGCTTGGAGTGGCCAAAACCATAAAAACACCAAGTCACCCCACTTTGCTGAGGTGGAGTCGAACAAGGGAGGGCTGTCAATCTCTACCCCATAGGCCGCCACGAAGTCAGCCATGGCAGTTGATAGTGTGCTCAGGAAGGGCAGCGGCAGGGCCTTGACCGCGGGGAGATAATGGTGAGATTCCCATCTGTCTGCTGGTTGCGACATGACCATCTCTGGGGGCTCCCATGGCTTAGATAAGTGGCCCAGAAGCCCGGGGTTGCCCCCACAGCTCCCTTCTGGTTAGCCTGGCTCATGGGGGGATGGGGGACAGGAAAACCCTGCACTGCGCCAGGCTCCTCCTTCCTCAGGTGAGAGCACAGCTCACAGCTGATAACAGCAGCCTGTTCCGGAGATGCCCTGAGTCTCTGCCTGGTCTCCTAGGCCTTGTTTATTTCTTATTTAGATTTTTGTTCTCGTCCCTTGAAGCCCTTTCCAGCTGACTTGTTTAAGAGATGGACCCTGACCCAAGCCTGGCTCTTCTATCTGTGCAGCCCGTTCAAGCTTGTGGACCTTGCTGGGTCCCCTTCTCCCAGGAGGCGCTGGGTGAATGGGCAGTTTCTTCTCCAAGTTTCCGCTGATGCTTGGCCCTTGGTTGGTGCTCAGCCAGCACATGTGGAATGAGTGAAGGGTGAAAAAGTGGTCTGGACGGGAGCTGGTGTGTCACACAGACACAGAGAGTGGAATGACAGATGCTGAGACCCCAAAAGGTGGAGTGTGGGGGTGAGGGAGGAGGAAGTACCTATAAGCATAGTGTTCACTGTTCAGGGGATGGGGACACTAGGGCCCAGACCTCACCAGCAGTCAATACACCCGGGCAGCAATGCTGCACTTGAACCCTAAATCTATTTTTAAAAAAAAAGACAGCAGAACCAAAAGTGGTTTTGAGGTCTGGAAGGGAGAGGGAGAGGAAGGGGGAGGAGGAGAGAAGTGGGGAGGGGAGGGGGAGAGCA